GTGCCATTCTTTTAATATCCTAACTGGTAATGAAATCAATGTCGGGAGGGTAGAGAATCCTCTTTCTTACCCTGCTGCAGGGCAACTGAACTCCTTTGTGCAAAACTAAATAAAATGGATTGGCTAGGGCCTCCTTTTTTTTTTTTTTTTTTTTTTTTTTTTTTTTTTTTTTTTTTTTGATTCCCAGGATTGTACAGTAGTCTTTGAATTGGGATGGTACTTTTGGAAATACTGGGTTCAAATGCTTATTGCTAAGTAGAAAGTGTTGTGATTAACATAATAGATTGAGTTCCTAATGCTAAAATTTGTATAGAAAGGAGAAAAGCCACTTAATTCTGAAGTATGATGACAAAATCACCTGTTGTGACTTTTGTTAAAACAGACACATGCTTATATGCATTAATCTAATAAAAACACGATGTGTGTTTGCTTGAAGTATATCTGCTGTCTTGAGAAACGTTGTTAGGAAGGCTGTGTTTTGTCAGTCTCCGAGGATTTACTCTTCCCTAATAAAACAGAAGACCTTCTAGTAGTGTAACAAAGCAGATCATCTGGAGCTGTGGAATCTATCTCTTGAAATCAATTATTCATGGATTTGGGCAAGATTTTTAGGCTTGTGTGTCTGAATATGAGGGAGCAATCATTGCTGGAAGGCCCTCTGTGGATCTCAAAAATAATTTCCTGGAGGGATACTTTTGAAACCATCATCTTCAGGAGTTAGTGAGTTAGCAACTCCACCACTAGAGTTGACTTGTTTGTGTTGTTTTTTTCTTTCTTTGTTTTTTGTTGTTTGTTTTTTGGTTTTTTTTTTTTTTTTTTTGTTTGTTTTTTTGTTTTTTTTTTTTTTGTTTTTTTGGTTTTTTTTTTTTTTTTTTTGTTTTTGTTTTTTTGTTTTTGTTTTGTTTTGTTTTGTTGAGTTTTGGTGGTGCTTTTTTTCCTGAATTTGTTACAAATTTGTTTATGACACTATAAGTGGCTCTATCCCAAGTTTGAACGCATTACACTTCAGCCAGAATGTTAGTTTAGGTTTTGATATATTGTATTCTATAGATCTTATTTGTTCCAGCAACCAGAATGATTACAAACCATTCAAGTTTTTTGAATTTCTTTTACCTAATAAGTCTCATGTCCTATCCCAGCTGTGATTTCTCCTGTTCAGTTTTAAACCATTTGAAGCCTTCCCAGGCTGCAGGTAGTCATCAATATATTGTCTGTTTTAGACAATATATTGTCTGTTTTAGACAATATATTGTCTGTTTTAGAAACCATTGAATTTAGAAACTATTGAATTTAGAATCTATTGAAATCTCTAAATTTGTAGGATTTTAAAAACAGCAGCTGCTTTTTAGATACCAAGAGTTACGTCCTTTGTGGGAAGGGATACAAATAATAAAAGAATCTTCTAACCCACAGTGTTGGAGTTGTGGATGACACAACTGGTTTTCAGCAGTCATGGTGTCTGCTAAATGTCTTTTTGTTTGGCTGTTTAATGTCTTTTTGCTGGTCAGGCAAGTTATCTAATTGAACCTGTTCCTTCCATAAAAGAAAAGAACACATGAAGATATCTTTTCTGAGATATAAACATAAAATAAACAAAAATTTGAGTAATTCTTCCTTCTTTCTTTCATTTTTAATTTAATTTTTTATTATTTTTATTTTTTGAAGTGGGGGTGTAAAGTCTGTCTTTTGCAACTAGAGGAACAGTATGACAAGTCATATTGTTTGGATGATAAAAGGAGAAATATATTTTGGAGATGATTTTAAAAATATTTGTGTTACATTCTTACATCTAGTTTGGGTGAAATAAAAAAGAATTTTTTTGTGGTGTATCTTACATAAGTGACAAAAAATCACATCCCATGATTTTAAAGACTATAAATATCTGTGGGTATATTCTAAAGCCTATAGATATCTGTGGGTTTGGTGAGATATTTGGCTCTTGGGTATAAATTTTTTTTATTTCTGTTTCAGTATGCCCAAAACTCCTGCAAAAATATGCTTTAAAGAAGCTCTGTGCAAAAGATTTTTAGGAAGATTTGGTTTTGTGGTCTTATTTTAGGATAATTTTTTGTTTATATCTGTGGTTTCTACTTCATACTGATTTTTCTGCTTTTTCTGTGATACCTTAGCCAATTATCTCTGCTTCTGTTTCTAATTATCCTGAAGTCTAAACCCTTTTGCAAATTAATATTCTGTCTGCAATCACTGGTGTTGTGCAGTATGGCATATCATACATGAATTTTATATTGTAATTGTGAATCCAGTCGGCATTATTTTCTGCTTTTGCAAATTGTCATTATCTACTACAAGCTTTGTTCCTCATACTAATTTATAAGTTGATGCTTGCATTCATATGTATGTCAACACTGAAGCATATGCCTGTAGATACTGCCTAATGTCCATGTTGACAGAATGCATTGCTTGGAAACAGTAGTATCACACTCAACTTTTTCCTGCTTGTTAAGTTTTCTTCCCTCTGTAATTGTTGGATGCCTTCCAGCTCATTGCAAATTCTTCAAAAGTTTTTTTTGCTGGATGACTGAACAGTAAGAATTGGACACTTGTTTAATACAGATAGCTTTTCCCTGAACCACTCTGGGAGTTTAGAAAGGATCCAATTTATATGTTGCTCTGGGAAAGCCTTATTTATATTTACAGTATAATTTGCAAAACCATGCCATCAGTTAAATTCATGTTCTTTTTCCAGCCTTTCTGAAAATTGCTTGCAACTATATATCTGCTGGAGTAATTGTTAAAGACACAAAAAGAAAAAAAAGAAAAGAAAATCCCTGATTACTTACAAGTCTTTTTGTTGTTGTTTTTGGTTTTTTTCCCTTTTATTTCTAGCATAGGAGATCTATTGTAAAGAATAATCTTTGAAAGCTAGTGTTAGTTTATAGACTCAACAGAAAATAACAATCCTGTTTGCAGGAAGACTTGCTCTAGAGTGGCTTTTATCTTGTATTAAATGGCTGATTGCTGTTAGAATTGTTTGCCATGAAAAACTAGGATATGACTTTTTCATGACTTTTTCGAATATTACTGATCTATGTTTTCGACATTTGCTGTGATGTATTGAACAATTTGGTTTCCCTTATTAAAAAAAATCTTGTTTTAGCAGGTCTAATATATTGTTATTAATCTGATCACTTCCATAGATTTCAAATATTGCTAGATGACATAAATTTTAAAAAGCTTTGCACAGCTGGATTGAAGGAACATTAGTACTACCGGCAGTTATTAACAAAACTTTTCCAAAACACAGCCTAAGCCAAAAACCCCATGTGATCAGACATCTGCTAACTTCGTACTTCTACTGGCATTTCTGCAAGATGCATAGAACTCTCTCTCACCTTTATCACACAAAAATAAACATATATCTGCAGATATGGGATTATTTCTCCTGCATATCTTAATTTTATTCAGTCACTAAATTAGATTCACTATCTACAAAATTTATTTCATTTTAATCTATTAAAGATAATGAACCCTGCGCTGCAATGTAAATAGAAGGTTAGGGAGTAGAAACTATATTTATATATTTTTTTTGTTGTTGCAAATTGGCTACTTTAGATGAACTCGGACATAGGTATTCTGTCTTGTTGAGGTGAAAAATGCAGACTAAGAATGCCTGATCCTCATGTCACTAAATTCACAAACTCCAAATCATTATTATTTTCTGAATAATAACGATTGCGTGAGGGTCCCCAGAAAATTCCTAAAATTAAACAAATATTATTTTTTTAATATTAAAATCTCAGCTGAATCTGGGAAGAGCGTATTTTGGTATAGAAATGCAGGTTTTGAAATTATACAGAAATTGGTTTAGAGAAAACAGTTTCTTTGATTTTACTTTTCACACTGTGTAGAAAAAGTTTACCTTATCAGTCAGTATCTCCAGCACTACAACCAGCAACTAAGCTGGTCATTCACTCACTTTCACTCAGGGGGATGGGGAAGAGAGTCAAAAGAGCAGAAAAAGCTGTGCATGCAAGCAAAGAAAACCAAGGAATTCACTCACCACTTCTCACAAGCAGGCAGGTCTTCAGTCATCTCAAGGAAAGCGAGTTTGCACCATGCATTACAGCCACCTGGGAAGGCAAATGCTGTTATTCTGAATGTCCATAACTCTAAATGTCTTCAATTCCTTCTTCTTACCACAGCTTTTTTTAATGAGCTGGTCCTCATGTGGTATGGAATATCCACTTGGTAAGCTGGAGTAAGCTGTTGCAGGCATGTCACCTGCCCCAACTTCTTGCTCAGGTCAGCTTGCTGCGATGGGGAGCAGAAAAGGCCTTGACCCTGTGTCAGGGCAGCTCAGCAGGAATGAAAACTGCCTTGTATTGCCAACAATAAGTGCAGCACAAACCCAAAATGTGGCACCATAACAAGCTACTGTGGAACGTTTTAACTCTCTTACATTCGAGACCAGCACAGAGACAAAATCTCTCCACTGCCATCCTTCAGTCCCTTAGTGTCTTCTCATTCAGAATATTTAAGCAAGTTATGTTATAATTGCTGTTATTTGTAAATCACCTAATGAACATCCATGTGGTAGAGCAGAAGAGGACAGTGTGCAGCATATTTTTAATACTTTGGTGAAAGAAATGTTTGGATTTTTCACTTCCTTCAGAGATTAAACTTTATTGCCAAGCTGAAATTGTGATTCTCTTTTGTTTGTGTTAGGACATTCTGTATGGACGGTCAGCCAGTGGTCCCTGCATTTTGTAATTTTTTAGCCAGGAAACACCCAGATATTACAACTGCATTTTTGCTTCAATTATGAATTCTAAAGGTTTTCCACTTAGGATTTTCTATAACAACTCTGTCCATATCTCTTATTATAGATTAGCAGGCTATATCTGTTTAATTTTTTGTGCCCCTAGTGATTTCTATTTTTCTTCTCTTTTGATTTCTGAGGTATTTTTATATGGAACTGATATTTCTCAAAACCTTTGACATCTGCCTCCTCCCTCTTCTACATCTCTCATTTCCTACAGATATACAATCTCCTCCACACTTACACCACGCAGCTGCTGCCCTCAAAATCAAGTCCAAGGAATACCAATGCACCTGTGGAAAACCACCTCTCGGTAAAAAATATTCTCCTCCTTGCTGTGTGAAGAGAGGTACAGAAAAAAGATGCAAGGATAACCAGCCACCCACGCATCCAACAAACCTGCTGTCGACCTCTCAGGCCACGTTAAGAGAGGGTAATAGCCACACAAATGTGGAGGACTAAGAAAAGTACTCTAAGCTTCACCTTATGCTTTCGCCTCGATCCCAGCCAAAAATACCTGAGGGGTTTCAAGATGCTGTCATGTTTCTCTGGTGTGTGCCTGTGGTTCAACACTAAGGGAAGTATAGATTTTACGTTTAACTTTTTATTTGTTTTGCATCACAGTATGAAGGAAAAAAAAAATCCATCTAAATTTTCAGTTGCTTGCTCCATCAGAGCTTGCATGGTAGCAACATTTAGAGCAACAGGTTTGATTTCACCACCAAATGTCACAGCTCATTAAACAAGAAAATAGTGCTATCTCTTGCAGAAAATGTTATGAAACTTATATGGTAACAATTTGATCCTTCTTGTGTATGTATTCTCAAAAAAATAGAGATGAAGACTGGGATTTTTGAAGAGTACTTGACACTAGTGAAATTCTGCTGCTGTTCAGGCAAATGGCAGATTTGACACTGTCTTCCACAGAAGAACTGAGAAAGTTCTTGTGATGAAAAATTGGTTTATTTTTCTTTTTATTTAAGGAGAAGAAAGGAAATATATGTATTCAAATAGAAACATTTTTTGTGAGTACTACCAGTAGTGCATTTGTAGAAAAGTATATTATTGACAACAGTGGCAAAGTTCTAGGCTGCACAGTCTGGGGATATTTTACCTGCCTCTAAATGTTCTCATTGACCCCTACAGAGCTCTATAGCACTTTATGAAGCACTCAGTGAGGTGTCAGAGGATGTGGTGCATCATCTCAGCAATTTGCCATTTCTTTACTGTATGCCAGAATTAGTCAGTTGGTTAGAATATGACATTCTACTGTGTTTTGTAAGGAAGCATCCTCAATGCCTGTGTAGATGCCCATCTGTCTTTTTGGGGAAACCTGCAGAATTGAAAAGCAACTTTTCCAGCAAAGTAGAATACATGATTTCCTGAGGCTTTGCTTTGTAATGTTGCACTTCATATGTGGATGGGATGCACACAGAGGTTTCTGAATAGAAATGGTTAGAAAGAGTTTTGAAAGCCATGGAAACAGTTCTCAGCCATCATCAAGAAAAATGAATAGTTTAATAAAATATGTGATAAAATCAGGTTAATTTCTAAATTTTTTATCTGTTTCCTCTGTGAAGAATGCTGCTATCTATCCCTCTTGAATAATATCCTTCTCCCAATAATGTGCAGCCCCATAATTAATAAAGATATGTGGAGAAGTATGGAAATGTACCTTGGGAACAACTTAACCTTTTGACTAACAAGTGTTGCTAAACTTATCTAAAGTGCTGCTAACTGAACATAACCTGTCTGGAAGATTACTCATGGATCAAGGCAATAAGCAACTTCTGAGCAGTTTGGGCATGTGAGTTGCTGCCATAATGTAAAGTTCTGCACAAAAATATCAGTTGGTGTGCTTAGATGAGTATGATGGCCTTGTTTTCATGTCAGAGTAGTAACACATTTTTCCACGTCTTCTGGAAATGATGTTATTGTGATTATAAACTTGAAAGGATTCCTGAGACAAGTTCAGATTTTTGTTTGCAGTATTGCTTTTGTTGGGATAGTACAAAACTCAGTAAACCAAATTTCTAGAAGCAGAATGGAAAAACAAAATTTTTCTGAATTCCTTAATTTCTTGAGAAAAGGTCTAGAGGGTATCTTTTGACGTTAGAATACAGCTTAGCTGGCTTATCTCACTGATAAGTTCTCACTTCTGTTATTTACAGTCTGTTGCTGTTTACTGTCCAGTCATAAGCTAGCTGAAAACTCACTTTTTTTTTTTTTAAAAAACGCAGCTTCATTAAATTTCTTGGCATTAATTTTATCTTTAAGTCTGTACAAGTGAATGGATACAGGGCCAAAATTGTGCTATACAAGAACAGAATACTCTTGCTGTGTTTTAATCTTCAGCAAAGCATCGTTTGAATATTATATTTTATATATTTTTTTTTTAATGTACAGGTTTATAGGATTTTTTCTTTTATTATTGTAGTAGAATCGAGACCCATCTATTCCAGGCAAATAAATCCACCTGAGAAGTCTGTTTTCCAGTGCCATATATGTCTAAACTTTGTGTTTTTAAAATGTGTCATATATGTGTCTCTAGCTTTAATCTAAAATGGTTGAATCAAGAGAAACTTGACATTTTTTTCAATTCAATAATGGCCAATATGTATTTACTTTAAAATATCTGATGGAAAAATAAAAATTCTGACTGTGACTTTATGAACTATCTGAAAGGTTACTTCCTTCTTAATGAAATCCATATTCAGTGAAACTTTTCAAGAGATAAAAGTGACTATTGAAATAAGGCAATTACACTTCCTAATCTGTATTTATTTTGGAATTTAAGAAAACATTGTAAAATTTGAAGAAGCCCATAAGTTGGCTGTACAAATATGTCCGCATATGTAGAACTGTGAATTTATAAAAATAATTCTCAATATTTACTGTGGATTATTCAAATATTTTGTGCCTCTTCTGATGCTTAAATCTATTGGTTTCTGTAAAAGATGGCAAATTGTATTAGTTTTTCCAACCAGATACTTTTTCAGCCATGTTTTAAAGTTTCTCTGTGAGGATAAGTCCCACTATAACAAAAGGAAGGATTTTTTTTTTTTTGACTTTTACCAGAATAATTAAAGCAGAAATTTTGCAGATTATATTAAATAATTTTTCTGTGAAATACTGGCGATTTTTTAAATATATTGCCTCTTTGGACACAATTAGTCACTGAAAATGCATCTTCAAAATCAGTTTTAGTTGTGTAGCATGTATATGTATATTTCAAAACTTCAAAACACAACTTATATGAGTAGTTAATGAGTAGTTGCATTCAAATAATTTTTTTTTTTTAGTATTATGCTATCTAAGGAGAGACAAGAGTGCATCAACTCTGAAGTGCTAAGCTTTAACATATGTCTAATTTTTATTCTTAAAAATATTGTCTGTTACAGTTCAAATGCAGCTCTGTATGTGAAAAACAGTTTGCTGACCATCTCAAGAATAGTTGTAATTCTGTTAGAGTGGTATAAATCAGGGCTGTAAAATATTCAACACTCTACATTTAAATTTTTTTTTAAATTTTAGTCAAAGAGTGTCTTTTATGTGACAATTGATTGAACCTCATTGACTTTTAAAATGGCAGAGGAATGCCTGTTTGTTTGGGTTTCAGCATCTTCCCCTTCACCTTCCCCTTTCTCTTTCCTTCCTGTTTCCCTTTTCCTTCCCACATCTAACATGAAATTTTGTCAATACACATTTGTTGCTGTGACAGAAAACCTAATTAACATATAATATTTTAGTAGTTCTATGCTAATTTCTTCTTTTGTGCTATATGCAGCTCTTGGGAGTGTAGCTCTTTGTGCTATATGTAGCTCTTGGGAAACATTAGAGAAAAATTTCATACTTTACCGTAATCTGATAGACCCTAATTAACAACAGTTGTCAAAAATTGAGACAAGCAGCAGATTCGACACGTTATATTTTTTGTTATCATTAAAATGATGTATACATATGTGATACATTTTCAGGAATGCTAGGAATGTATAATTTGTGCTCAATACCTGACCTGTGCATTTAAATATATTATCACTACTTACAAAATACAGGATTGCTTTTGTTCTGTAGAAATTTTAATTAAAGTTTAGATCATAAATTAAATACTTGAATGTGGGTAAGTTTTTGTTCTATGAAAGACTAAAGAAGTATAAGCTGGTTTTCAATATGCTGTCCCATTGGAAAACATGATATGACATAAATTTTGGTTTAAACTGTTGCCTTACTTGAAAAGTATGCAGAGCCACAGATATATGAGATTTTTTTCATCAACAGCTGAATAAGTATAGTCATGAAAGGACTCTGTCAAATGTCTCTCACAAGAAGGGCTTGATCACTTCTGTGACTTTTGTTACAAAGATGCTGTGCATGGGCCTGCACTTTGGAAACATCTGAAAACAGAAATTAGTTTGTGCTCCATCTCTTGGGAGAGGTCAGCCTCTCCTTAGAGCTCTCACCTTGTGGGCTTAACTGATGTTCTGCCTTGATTCTTAGGATGCCAGCAGCCATTTGGAGAAATTTGGAGCAGGGAAAAATGCAGACACAAGTGAGATAATGAATATCATCAGCTAGTGAGCTGATGAATATCCTCTTAATGATATTTAACAGAAATACAAGTTATTTCCTTTTCTTTGTGGTGCATGAGTGTAAGGTAGAAATAATGTTGCTGTAACTATTTGTTATTAGCTGTTGTTTCTAGATGCCTCATGTAGGTGCAATTGCTCTGCTTTCTGTGTGTTGAAGGGTTATTTTAGATATTTAATGGTAGTTTTTTTCACCTTACCACAGAGATGTCCAGCTGCTGCACATCTTCTAGTGCTTTTCTTCTTTATGAGAAGATGAATGAAGGCCCACTAAGAGAAAGGACCTTTGATGGAGAACTAAAAGCACTAGAAAAACAATCCAGTGAACCCATGTTTGAACACATAATATATGCTTATGATCTGAGATCCTGAAGAGGATTTTGTTGTTAAATACAGCAAAGGTGGATTTTGTGAAAACACTGAGTAATTTTTTAGTTACATGTTGGAAAGCTGCCTTGTCTACCCAGTCTCCTTAACTGAGAAGACCTGAGATGAAAAAAATGTGTGAAAAGACAGTTCTTCAGAGGCAATTGTTTCAGTGTATGCTCTTCCAAGTCTGTGTTTGTCTATTCTTTAGAAAAAAAAATAAAATTATAAATTGGGATTCCTGTAGATACTCTGGACTGTTGTACTCCTAAACTGAACACTAAGAGGGTTTCTGTGAAAGGTGATCCAAAAAAAACTACATGTGGAGCTGGGAGAACAGAAGGGTCAAAATTATGTGTCTGGCCAGCCAAGAAAGAAAAGCAACCTTGGTTTGACCACCAACACTCAGGCATGTTTGTAGGACTGAGAGATGTGACCTGGGAATTTAATAATACGTGGAAAAATTGGTTTGTGCAAAGTAATATGCTCATTCTCCTCCTCTGTAGAATACTTCCTTTCTACATTGTAGCCCCTTTAACTGTGTCATTCAGCAGGGAAGTGATATATTAAATGGTCTGTGGTGCATTCTGTGAAACTTCACACTGTGAAACTTCCTGCCTTGGGTGGTTGTAGCTTTACCCACTGTTACTTATATAATTTATTAAGAAACCCTCAAAGTTGACTAATCCTTGTTACTGCAAGCTAGTGCTTGGCAAAAGGCCTACATTTATGGCACTGGTTATTTGTGATGTTCAAATTAATGTACAATCCCTTTTCATTCATTTTACTAAGACTTAAATTCTTGGCCTTCGCAACCTGATGAGTCATTAGTATTCAACAGCTAATTACAGGTCATGTTTTAAAAGTATTTTTTATAGGAGCATAATGTGTGTTACCACAGTGTTACTCCATATAGGCTGACATTGTATTTAACTTTCACCTAACCTGAATAAGGTTGTTCCTGGAGTTCCTCAGAGCATCTTTTTGAGATGAATCCAAATCTCATGGGTTTTCAGACCCCTCAAAACATGGGATCTCATATAAGCTGTGAGGAAAGCATACTGTCAATTTTCTACCATTTAGAAATTTGACAGCTTTTTCCTTTCGTTCCTCTTGTTTGATGCAAAAAAATCCTCTTGTTTGAACAAAAAAAAAAAATCATCTCATGAGCAAGGGGCTGTATATTTTTATGCATCTTGTATGAAATTTAGAACATAAATCATTCTGAAATTTGCATATTTTGTTCACCTCTCTTTTTTTTTTTGTGCTAAGGTCTGTCAATATACACAAAAGATCCAAGGGTGGTTGTGACCCACCTCTGAAGCAGAGCAACTGAGTTCATTTTTAACAGATTATTTGGGATGACTTAAAACAAATTACTCAAACTTAAATGGTATTAAAATGAACTTTATTTTGAGAAATTGCTTTGAAATCTAACTGGAAAAACTGTAAGTATTGGAAAAGGGGTCTATAGCCATTCTGAAGTTTATGATCATCCTATTTTTCCTGGAGAGGAAAATTGCAAAGGCAAAAGGAGAAATAGAGAGATTTGAGAAGAGCTTAAATAGATGGTTAGATTAGATAGATAGATAGATAGATAGATAGATAGATAGATAGACAGATAATCACTCCCCATGGCTCCAGTGGTATGTGTGTGGTTGTGGCCTGTAGTCATGATACACAGTCCTGCACTGACAGGAGTAGGGGCCCATGTATGCATGGAAAATTTGTTTTCTGGTTCTTCCAGTAAGTTCCCCAGTACATCCTCTGTTAGAAGTTTTAGACAGGGTCAATCTTCTCTCTTGAAGATTCTGGAAGTTTGTTGACATCAAGAAGGTAGGTGAGTGTGTCTGTCTCTCCAGATGTGCCTGGACAAAGTTTCTGCACAAAGTTTCTGAGTAAATTTTCTGAGTTTTGCAGTTATACAGTGGTGGCTCATGGAGTGGGAAAGAGATCAGCACAATAAACCCCCCCTCTGTCTCCAGATAAAGATGGTTCTCTTTAGTTTGAAAACAGCTTGATTAAGGCAAATTTTAGCCCCAGCATCCAAGTGGTTCACTACAGAATGTTTGAGATGTTTCTTTAAATGTTAGTCTTTATGTTTGTCTTTAACCCCTTCAGTGTGCATATGAATCTCTGGTCATAATAGTTTCTGGCACAGCCATGAGCTTTGTGATACAGCTGATATCACATATGAAAAATACTTTGGCTTTACTTCTGACAGGTTAAGAAAAGTACTATTTATGCTGATTCTGTCCAGGTGTAACTTAAAGACTAATGGTGATCTCCAGTTTCTCTTGCATCACTGCTGGCACTGTTGAGCTGCTGGAGAGGCCACTCAGGCAACTTGCTTTGTCTTAATATAGCCAGGGAGCTTATGTCAGTAATCTGTCAAATCTAACTTTAAAAAAAGAGAAGGAAGATACATAAGATAATCTTTTAGTATTAATATATATATATTTTGAAGCAGAAAAATAATTGCAAATTTTTAATGCTTTAAGATGCTCAAAATTAAAACTTAGGATAATGCATTCAAGTTGTCAAAGTATGCATGTAAAGAAACAGACAGGTTGGTTATGTGGTGTGAATTTCTGAATGTGAAAAAACCTCTATTCAGCACACAAATGAAATCCTTCACCCATGAGGCCAGAATGGGAAAGATATCCACAAATATATCAAAGGGGAGAAGAGGTGTTAAAGTGAAGTTTAAAAATATAGTGATAATGAGAGACTGTCATTTTCTGAGATGGGAGTGATTCTTATCACAACAGGTCAGGGGTTATGTGCAGTCAGAAAACCCAGATTGTAGCTGGAAGTCATGAGAAGGTAATTGAAAATTGCATCCTGAATTGAGAAGTGGTAGTCTGCCTTTGTGCATGCAGAAATTTGCTGACATGCATGTGGGAAATTAAGACAGCCATTATTGAGACAGCTGGATTTAGAAACTGCAAGGTTTGTAACTGAAAGAAAGGTAGAAATTACTTTTTCAGTCAAGGACTGAGTAATTGTATTCATACATCCTGAAGCAAAAGAGATTGTAAGTAGCGTTATAAATAAACTCTTCCCTTTTTTGTGTGGGTATGGGAATACAATGAAGGGTAGGTTGGAAGTTAATGGGAAGACTGTGCATAGCTTTAGATACTGGGAATTTAAAGGACAATTGCCACTCTTGCCTGAAGTAAAAATGCTCTAGGAGATTTATCTGAGAGATAGGAACAGACCATGGCTTTAATTCTCTTAGTGGCAACATTTTCCTTTCTTAAAAATGGTTTCAGATATCTCTCTTGTACACAAAACCTCTTGTATAATCTGGTACAAAGCAATGCAGAGTAGAATTGTATTGATTTTGATGCCAGTTGGGGCTAGATATGGCAATATGATGTACTTTCTTGAGATTAATATAAGAGAACATTTGTCTCTTTACAGATCTAATGAGTAATCATCTATTAAATTTGCAAGGCTGCAGTTATCCCTGCTACTTTCACTTCTCATAAAGGATGAGTCCTTTTCAGCTTGGCCCGATCAATTAATCCAGTCAAAACATTCCAGTGTAAGTGCTGGCTAATTGGGCTACTAGACAACTGCACAGAAATAGTGAACCATTAGAATCATTTTGGCATTGTTTAACTTCATATAAAATGTGCTCATAAAAATTTGGAGGAGGGTGAATCTAAGGTAATGATTATGGACATAATAATGATTGTGGACAGCGTACATTTTTTCTCCATTATCATCTGGGAGAATACTTTTAATGACCAGTGTAACCTAAATGTCAAATAAAGAAGATTTTAATTTATCTTAGGTAAAATTGACATTTTTTTAAACTTGCTTTGCAGATGTAAGTAAAAACCCCAAAACAAAAATAAATGCCAGAAAGCAGTAATTCTGGAAATGTTTAGTTATCCCATTTTTTGGCACAGGTTCCTATACAGCTCAATGCCCCTAAACCATTAATTTCTTCTATTTGAATTATTTGCACTACACAAGCATGTGCTCTTTCTTGTTTACAAATGGAGTTGGGCAGGAAAATAGACTAACATGCCGTTATTTCAGCAATTAAATTCTTTTCCCTGAGATAGAGGTCACTAGTAGTTCCCAAGGGTCCTTTGAATACCATGTCACTGAACAATTAAAAATGTTTCCATTAAGTGTCTTTCAAAGCAACAGAATCCTTAATTGTTGGCATAAAATCTTTATGATATCAATCCTAAAGAGGCAAACCACTTGTTTGCCAAAGGCATGATTTTCAGCCAGTTTGCAGATATTTGGAATTTAAACATCCCTCCATCTCCCAACAGTGCTATCCCCTATCACAATCCAGAGTATTTGATAGATATTGGGACTGGAATTAATAATGGAGGTGACTTATATAGGTTTGAGAAGGATACTGCCTCCATTTCCTTAGAGTCATCTGTCTATCTTCTACTCATTTCAGAACACATATATGTATCCAAAAGTCTGCATCTTAGAAGACTGTTCCAAATCATGCAACGTTATTGTGAGGTAACTCTTCTTGTCCTTGTCAAATGTTTTCTGTGTCTTAAAATATGGATTGTGATGGAAGGAAATGGGTTTTTCTGCTTGTACCTATTCCCTATTTTATTTGCAGGCAGAATGCTCTGTTTGCAGTTTTTTCACTAGTGAATAGATTTGCAAGCTCCAGAAGAGACCACATGGTAGCTGGCTGTTTGGGACATTCTCCCATTTTATAGCCTTGGGAAACTAAATCCCAAATCTTCTCATCATGAGGTGAAGGCAATATATTAATTCAAACCATTTTTTGATTGGAAAAGGGATCCTTTTATATCCAGCTTTTCTGTTTTCTTCAATTGTTTTGAATTAAAATATCAATTTTTTCATCTTAAACCTTCTTCTTCTGCTATCAAGAAAGAAGAAAAAGAAATAGCACCACGCCTCAAACTATTTTTTTTTTCATTTTAGCTGGAGAATTGAAGAATAGTCCTGGTTACAATTTCTGCTATTTTTCTTTTTGTATTTTTGTATTTTTGTGTTTTCTTTTTGTGTTTTTGAATTATTCCATTACTTAGTAAAAGAGAAAGTGTGAGGGTTTGTAGACAAATTTGCAGTGGTTACAGATGGTAAATGAAAAACTCTTATTGCCTGTAGTGATTGCAGGAGGCTTGAATTTCTAGTAATTCAGCAAACGTACAATAAGTGTGACATCCACAAGGCAATCAAGCACAACGGTTTTGGCTGAATGTACTTAGAGTAACTAAAGCTGGATTAAAAAGTTAGCTAAACTTTTAAATCATTCACTTTAACAAGTGTCACAGTATTCAGAGGGGCAGAATGCCAAACCAACAACTGTTAGGTCTCGCACCTGGCAAACAGCAGTTCATGGCAGAGAAAATGGTACTGACTGGTTAGACATTCAGTGCAGTGTGTTTGGCATTCTTGTCTCCTTAACTTGATGCCCATGGCATAGTGTGAAAACAGAAAGACACATTTTGCTTTCCTTTGGAGTGGTCAGGGATGGGCATGAATGTGCCTGTAGAACAGTATATTTTTAATGATAGTCTATGGCCACCTTCCTAAATAGTCTATTTGTTCAACTGAGTGACCTTCTTGTAATTTGTTTTATAAACAAGTCCAATTAAAATGACATTATTTGAAACCAGCTGAAATAAAAACCCATTTTATGTGAATTAATTAGCCTTTCTCAATTTATTTTACGCCTTTGAATTGCCCCCTGGATTCCTTTAGGAAAACTACAGGAGATATCAGCCAGCTTCAACTGTTCAAAAATTAATTTCTACAATGACTAGTATATATTAGATATGAGAAAACAGATATGGAGAAATTTAGTGACTAATCCAATTTGCCAAAATATATATCAAGGATTAACTGATTTCAAGTTCAGAATTGTAGGCAATACTTCTTCATGTTTTCAAGCAGAGGAATAAGAGGATATAAATGGACCAAAAAGAGCATGGATATGTTAATCTGAATCCTGTGTTTCTTTAGGGCATGCTGCGACAGAAAATACATATATATGAAAGAATCAACTGTGCCCTGAGCCCTTACATTTTTTGTGAGAATGACTGCTTTTATCACATGGGGAAAAATACATCTCGTAACTAATATGGAAATTACTTAAAAAAATAAATTTGCCGAAACCGTAATCTCCAGTCATTAGCACTTCAGTTATTGCCATCAGAAAATAATTTACAGATCTCCTTGCAGCTGCTCGCAGCTGCTTATCAAGAGATTGTTGTGAGACAAAGCTGGGCCAGAAGAGGTTTTTCTCACCATGCAGACAGTGTAATTAGTTTAAGAATAACTTTTCCCTCGTGTATGTGAAACAATTCTATCAGGTAACAGGCCCAGCTACATAGATATCACCAATAAATGCACCACCAAATAGAGCTGGACAGTCAGCGAGGTAAGGTATCTTGTGGATGGAATTGATCACTAAAAGGTACTAATCAGTGTATTAAAGATAGTTGTAGTAAGTCTTTGTAGAGTTAAAAAATTAAATATTTGCTTTAGTCTGTTTGATAATATTCAAGAAGCTACAGAGGATTTTTACTGCATAATAGTTTATATTTTTGTTTTGTGGTAAGGAAAATATGTTTTCATACGCCTTTTACTTCTTTCTGTGTAATGTAAAAGTGTTGTTAAAGGGAAAAGCTCTTAAACAAGCCAAATTATCTGAGTGGAAACATTTCTGACTTTGAGATAAGATTTTTATTTCTGTAGGCATTTTATATGCATTTATGAGTTTTTCTGGTGTTTTTTTATTTTTTTTTTTTGTTTTTTTTTTTTTTTTTGTTTTTTTTTTTTTTTTTTCTCCCTTGAGAAACTGCCACTAGATGGAGCAAGCGTTGTTTAAAATAAAACGGAAAAAAAAAAAAAAAAAAAAAAGAACCCCAAAACCCACAAGACCCCAGACCCACAAAAAACAAAACAAAGCCAACCCAAACCAAACCCAGTCCAGCTCAAAAAAGAAAATAAAAAGTAAGAGAAAAAGAAAGACAAAAAGAAAAAGAAACCATAAAAGATAAAACCCAAATCAAGGATACTGAAACGCTACCATAAAACCCAAGAAGGATAAGAACACACATCATTTACAGATGCAACGTCTTTGTTATTTAAAGTTATGTGCTAAACTATGGAAGTTTAATGTAATTTTAAGCTGTCTAATCAAGAAAATTCTTTCCACTTTTTCAAAAATATTTTAAGAGAAATTATGCTTAAATGAACTTTAATACCAGGAGCTGGTGGAGAGAAAGGATAACTGCAAAAGCAATTATTTGAAATTCCTTGTAGAATCCATTGCATATCTAAGATAATTGCGATGCCATCATTAAATATTTTTAGATAATGAGAAGCAGAATGTACTTATTAGCACATTTCTCACTATATTAAATAAATGTTTTATCAATTGCTTTGAACTGGGGTGCAGGAATTTAGATTGACCTTGAAACCTGAAACTTGTCTGCAGGATAAGGAATGGTGGACTCATTTCAGGGTGATGTGGGTTTTGTACTGACCCACACAGCTGGTCCACAGCAGCATCCTCTCTATAGCTGGTGAATACAGAGTCTTAGGAGGTAAACCTTACAGCTCTTCTTGATCAGAGGCGGACTTAATTTGGCAGAGTCTATGTTAATATATCTCAAACAACATCTGATCTCACTATGACATAACAAATTATGAGATTTGCTATGCCAGATTGTATTCTTCCAGTTCTCTCAAACTGATTTATTTCAGTGGGCTGTATTTAATGTGAGGAATTTGTTTCTTAAGATTGTTCTCTTTTCCTGGATTTGGAAGAAGATGGGGAAAAACATCCACAAACATGCTCTGAATTAGATTAAGTCATTTTACCGACAGAACTGTGCAATCACTTGTGGGTGGCATCCTAGTGTTTGAAAGAGAACATAATTTGCATCCTTCTGGCTGATATGTTCCATCCTAAATTACAGAGACTTAAAGGATAACAGGGATCATTTGACTGAATCAAACTTCAGTAACTTAACTGGTATCTCCCAATCAGCCAGTGAAGAATTTTATTCCTGTAGCTCTCTGTCATCTATGATTTATTGCACCACACTAATCTACTCTTTGTCTTCTAATTTATAGCAAAGTATTTGTTTGCCTTTTAGAGTATGCACAGTATTATAAGTTTCCAAATGCTGTGCTGCCAAAATTCCCATTTTCTTCCTCTTTCTGTACAATTTAGGTGATTAGGGCACACCTGCATTTTCAGTGTAGTAAACAGATGTTCTTTAAGAAGCAAGGGAAATACAGAAACAAACTGAAAGTACAGATGTAAAATAGGCGCTGGCCATGCCTTGTAAAACAAGCCTGCCCATGCAGTTCAAATGATATATAGCAACAATGACCTGGAGAGACTTCCTCCTGTGTTAAGGATTAGTAGCTATGTTTGACTAAGCCATGGTCTCTTTGTTCAGACTGCCAGTAAGGGCCCCAATTAGTGTCAGTTGCAACTGTGATTTTTTTGAAATCTCAGCCATTAGGAAAATTCTGTAGTGGCTCTACCTAGTTATGCTGAGTACATTTCACAGTATAAATATGATATTGTTTGGTCTCTTTTAGTGTGTTTGGTTTGTTTAAGGAGAAAAAATAGAAGTTTTTAGATTATTGTATGAGGGCATTAAAAAATCTTGGTACACGTGGTCCTTGTTTTATTTAGAAAAGTAATTTATTATCTGTCATGTCAAGCAATCATAACTCTTTCCATATAGAGCCTTACTTTCTGCTTTAATTTTTTTTTGGTGAATATTACTTTTATAAAGAACCAAATCTAGGAAAACTTAATGAATATAACAGAACTAATAAAGTCAGGATTTGTTTTCATACACTCTCTAAGTAATAGAGAGAAACTTTAAAAGTTATCCGCCTCTCTAAACCCCCGAGTAGTAATAAAAATAATATGCTCAGTATTTTCAATGAGGCAATTTTAGAATGAGATAAATTTTTTCTCAGAATGCATAAATAAATTACAAATTTGGAGCCAGAAGTTAAATATGGGCTAATGTAAGAATGAGAACACAGATAAAGGAACAGATTAAAGATTGGATTTTTTAAGGTAATATTGTTCTAGTCCTTAAGTCTTCTAAAGACTTTGAGGGGGAGATTCTTGCACTGGGTAATTATGACTTAAGTATGAACTTCTGCAAAGTCTCTGGGATGGCATTTACGTTAAAGTTGGAACAGTTGTTTTGTCCACTTTACTCTCTTAGACATGGGGAAACCTGCTCATAGGAGGAAATTCAACTTTCATAAAAAAAGAGATGTTGCTTCAAGACTTTGCTCTGTCTTGATAGAAGAGGAAGAGCACATTAAATGTAAACAAGGTGGACATTTAGTAATTGCACTAGAATAAATTATGTTCCTTTATGATTTACATGTATAAAATTCTTAAGATTTCTTCTTTTCCCATTCACACAACAAAACCCCTCAGAGACTAACAATAAAAACTCTTGTTATAATTACCCATGATACAAAAGCAGGTTTAATAATGATTTTTCCTGGTATTTACTGTTTAGAAAACTCCTCCTCTGCTGGAGTGCTAATGTGCCCTTTAATTCTGGAAATATTGAAGATGTGCTGCAAAATTGTGTAAGAACTCAAGCAAGTGTTACTGCCTCTCAGCAGAAATGCATGCATGCTGATATTTTCGCTCTTCATCCATGAGTGATTATCTGCTCTTTTGCTGTTTCTAGTTTTCCAAAAGGAAAATTATAATAATGGGTATGGACCACCCACAATTAATAAGGTGGTCTACATTTGAGTGATCAGTACTTAGTTATAAATTGAAAGAGAGAGGGTGTTGTAAACATATGTGAGGCTTTTTAAAATACTATTCTCAGAACACAGAAGTAACCAAAATATCAACTTCCCTCTCTTAGCTGTACTCATCACTTGGATGCAGATCTGGTAATGGTCATGCACATATTTTTCACCTCTGTATTGGACAACTGCACCACATCCTGCTACTTACAGTTCACCTGGAAGGAAAGAGCAAAATAGATGGTTCTGTATGCAGTAGTCTTCCTTTTTAGAAGATCTGTTGTCAGTTCAATCATTAATCCACTGAACTTTCTGGGAATCATTGCCACCATTGGAGTCTTAATGAGAAATAAGTATTTCTCAAAAGTGAGATATGATATTATTATTCTTTTTCTTCAGCACAGGGATGTATATGCAAAAGTGATGTTGTGACACAGCTATAGTGTACATACAGTGTGCTTTCATTTACTATGGTACTCTACTCTTTCTATGCCGTCTAGTGTTTCTTTGATAATGACAAGTAGGCAAGGGTTAGTGTAAAGGGAATAAATTTGGCCTGTACTAAGGCACTACCTGTATACTGAGTTTTGGAACAGGATTATGATGATGGTCCAAAACCAAAAAGTGATTACATACAGGCGAGTTTCAAGGAGACCAAGAGAGAACAATGAAAAGAAAAAGTGAAAATGAAGCTTCAATACATCCTAACATTAGTCTGTGCCTCTTGGTAGTCAGTTCCACTTGGGCATCCACTCTGACTCTGTAGCCTTTTATAACAAATTTTCTTTCACTTTGTAAAAGCAGCAGTCAATCACATGTTTGTGGCTTTCTACCTAAAAAAATTTCTCAGCTCACAGAAGTGTAAAATAATCTTGAAGACAATATAGTAAATTTAATCCTTCTTCATCCCCTTTTACCATTCAGAAACCAGAAAACTTCTGCAGAGAGTGTATTATCAGACAGATCTGCAGTGACCCAGTAACTGTGATCTAATGATAACTTCCTTTCTGAGCGCCAGATAGGAAATTCAGTGTGGAGGGATCTGCTTGCATTTGTCAGAGTTGTGTTGGTGGGTTGGTGGGTGTAGTTACTGTAGATCAAGCTCATAGATCTTAGGAATTGAGGTGCTACAGAGTCTTAGATCTAGCACTTTCTGTTGACAGAACTCAATGTAGAGTTTCCTTTTAGTAAAGGTATGAAGTTTTGACTTCCCCTCAGGAAATCCTGCTGAGATATTGTTAGCTGAATTCTTGTACTGCTCTTAAATAAAGCTGAGTGATGAAACTCTTACCACTAAAAAATCCCTCCAAACCAAGTCAAAAATAGTTGAAAATACTATATACTGCAAGACATATACCTAAACCATTTAGAATAGACTCAGCCAAGGCCTTTGGTTTTGAAAGCTGTGTTACAGGTTTGACTCAAGGTTCAGCCTTGTGCCCTTTGCATTTGAGGAAGAACCATGTTAGATAGATAATTAATAACTGTAATAAAGCAATGCAAAATCTCACTGCACAACAAATCTTTGACAGTAACTTCTGCTATAGCAATCTCTCCTTTTATTATGAGGGAATCTAAATCCAGTTTTGAGTATAATGGCTCATCCCATGTTCTCATTTATCAGCAGAGGTTTTGCTTTGCTATTACAAAACCTTCCTTAATCTATCCATAGCACCTCATCTAGATGTGTTCTCACTGCTAAGTGTTTTCCCAGATTCAGTGATCTCACTGCTGTGATGATAGTGATGTGCAGCTGCTTCAGCTGACACTGTTTTCTCTCCTTTTCCCTTTTCTATACAGTCTAAGTGTATGTAAGGAAAAAAATTCCATGGTATCTTTGCTTTTTTTTCCCCCCCTCTAAACATGTCAAATGGACTTTATTTCTGTACAATTTTCTTTCTGTTCTCTTTTTTCTTTCTCTAATAAAAACTTATCTACTCTCATCTTCCTGTATAC